TATGATTATTAATTACCTCATTATTTTAATTTGTTATGCGATAATTTTATTTGGCTAATGCGCCCCCACTGATGGAATATGTAGAGAGAAGATCAAATCAGAGTTGGGCTATAGTTACATATTTCTCTTCAGGTATTCTCTCCTTCACTGCTTTGAACTATTTGAACATTTGGTACGGCGAAGTTAGACAGATATTGAAGGATCTATGTAATAGTGATGGATTTAAAGGAATAAAGGATGATACTTATACAAGGCGGAACGGATTACTTCGAGTTAAGAGGATTTAGTAGATCATATCAAATATTAGGTGTTCACAAAAGCTCCCCAGATTCTGCGGGCGAAATTTCTGTGCTTAGTCCTAGAAAAAATTTGTTTTTTTCCACGAAGTCAATGTTTTTCCACGAAGCAAATTTTTTCCACGAAGTCAATGTCGTCGTCAACATTCTAGTGACTTCTTCAACATCTTCATCAATCTGCGTCAACTTGCAAAGTGGTGATAGGAATGGTCTCGACGACGTCAACCGTTGAACACAACTGACGTCGGCTGCAAATTTAGTCGTCAACAGACAAAGATACATGTCAACATCGACTATAATTTAATCAAACCCAAAAATTGCTTCAATATCTCGCTAGAGAGGAAATTAAACGAGGAAGTATGATACAAATAGGATATTTCAAATGTTCGCAGATTCTGGGTTCTGTGCAGAGAACGCAGATTCTCTGGAAATTCTGTTTCAATAAAATTCGGGTGCTCAGATTCTGCGGTGCCCTCAAATTCAGTAAAAGCTCCCGCAGATTCTGCGGGCGAATTTCTGTGCTTAGTTCGAAAAAAAATTCTAAAGTTTTACCACCGTCGGTTAGCAGAAAAAATAGTAGGGTGGAAATTTCAAATATAATCTGTGTATTTTTCGCAAAATAAAAAACTAATTAAAACAGAAATGCTCAGAAACTTTGGAAAAAGCCAGATCTGTGGATTTTTTCTGTGCATGTTTTTGGATGTTTTGCAGAATCGGTGTATGTTCTCCAGATTCTGGGGATGCTTCTGCAGAATCTGCGGTCGCCTTTTCCCGAAGAATCTGTGAAATAATTAAACAGAAATGAGGTTTGTGCACAGAATCTGTGGCACAAAATCTGCAGACAATTGAAATAGGCCCAAGAATGTCAAATACAAATGTAAAATGATTGAAAATTACAAAATGTATATTCTATTAATATTTCATGAAAGATCAGGGCTTGCTCTTTCAGGTATATCACTTCCTCCAAATGTTATATTCAAATCCCCAGCATGTCCAAGTAGCCAAAATGTTTCCATAACTCCTTTTCCTTTAATAATTACTTCTCCTCTAGGTTCTGTCACATATCCTCCAATTATGTTAGTTAAATAATGATTAGTTGTGGTTGATATATGGATACGTCCAGCTGTTGAGAGAACAAAGAATAATTTATGGAAATTAAATTAATTTTTTTTACGTCTTCCATTAGATTCCATTCTACTAGCTGTATTTACAGTGTCTCCAAATAAACAATAACGAGGCATTGTCAATCCAACAACTCCAGCTACTGCTGGTCCTTAAATATTTTCTTTTAAGGAAATTAACAATTCATTTATTAACCAGTATGTATTCCAATACGTAAATTAACACGTTCATTTGGCAAATGGTCAACTCTAAATGTTGAGACGGTACGTAGGAAAGCAAATGCAAGTTCAGAAATTTCTTTAGCATGGTCATTCCCATTTTTCCGAGGAATTCCAGAACAAACTAAATAACCATCTCCAATTGTTTCAACTTTATAAACATCATGACTGTCAATAATCCCATCAAATGCTGTGTATAAACCATTCAACAGATTTACAACCTTTTTAATTCATAATTTATTTATTTCGAATATTTTAATTACTTGTAAAGGAGAACATTTACTAGCTAATGTTGTAAATGAAACAACATCAGAAAAGAATATTGTTGCTGCACTAAATTGTTCTGGTTCAACAAATTCCCCCAATTTTAATTTATCGGCAACTTGTTTTGGAAGCATTCTATATAAAAGAATATCACTTTTTCTTTTTTCTTCAACCAATTCTCTAGTTCTTTCTTCAACTTCTTGTTCTAAAGAACTTGCATATTGCTCTAACATTCCAAAAACATAATCCATTAAATTTTGACTCCCATCCCTAACCATTTGCTTTAACATTGTTCTGACTTGATCAATTCTTGGACGTTCTGTTGGAATTTCACTCCAACAGTCTCGTATTAAATGGATCTGGAAAATTATTTATTTGGAGTTTATCTTTAATTTTTACGAGATTTTGATTGATTTCTTCCCTTGGATGCAACTGAGGTCTGTGTGGGATTGCTGTATTTGTTCGTCGTAGGCGATAAATAATTTCTATAAAAAAGATCAACTACATAATTTGTATTTATTTCCTACAAACCATCAACATCATCTTCTCTTTCAACTCCATTCCAAACAGTTTCTCTATTAACTAATTCACAACAAATTATAGCAAAACTATAAACATCTCCTTCTTTTGTTCCTTTTCGATTATTTTCTCTTAATAATTCTGGTGCTGTCCACAATAATTCTTAAAAAATTTATATCAATTTTTAAAGGAATTTTAATTCATTGTACGATGCTCGACCAATAAAGGATCGGAAATTTTTACGCTATTGGTTACATACTCGATAAAGTATCAGACTTTCTGGACTTATCAAATTATTATTATATTTATTAGGACTAGCGAGAAAACTTTTATTTTAGGGTCTTCTACAACCTTCTTTTACTCATTATTTTGACGAGTTCGACCATTCGTAGATGCCCACAACTCGATTGATAAATTAAGATAAACGGGTTGAGTGAAATTGAAGATGGAATTGATAGAAAAAGGATAGCACAGCCATGGAACAAAAGATGACCAGGCAATTAGCTCAGTCAGGTCTACCCTCTTTGGCTACCTTGTCTTATTTTTTAGATTAAAAGAGCAAAAGCATATATTACTTCTTTTTGTAATAGTTTGGCTTTCTCTAATCATATTCAATCCAAAATCGCTAATCTTTACTTGCCAACGATCATTAATTAAACAATTCTCTGAAGAAAGCATTCCATGTGCTCCAATAAATGACCCGTGTAAAGCTATTAATCCACTAGCTATATCCCTCATTAAAGTAAACATTACAAAAGAATCACCGACATATTGCTCTTTGGCGATTAAATCCTTTTTAATTCACATTAATATCAAAGTTGAATTATTTTAGTATTTCTCATATATTTTATTTTAAGCTAAATTATGAACGTCTAAGCTTTCGATCATTAAAATTTCGGTTATTTCTCATACAGAATATTACAGAGTATATTTTACAAGTATTATATTAACTCAAAAAAGTCGTAAAAGTTATCCACTACTTAACAAAAGTATGTCAGACATATAGTATAATTTAGGGTTTCTATACATTCCTTAAGTGCAGGGATGTGCGCCAAAATTTTCGCGTGGCGCGCCAAACGCCAAACGCCAATTTTTCAAATCACGCCAAACGCCAGAACGCCAAAATCGGCCAAAAACGACGCCAAAACGCCAAACGCCAAAACGCCAAAAATTTTAGTCTTTCAGGACCCAAAAAACCAGTGTTCATTTCTTTTTAGCGCCGCAGGCGAAAATTTTTGAATTTCCATGATTCCCAGAAGCCAGAATTCATCCTTTTTTAGCGGCTATACCAAAAATTATGGAAATTTATTGAGACCAAGAATCAGAAATCCTACTTTTGTAAATCACAGGACCAGAATTGTAGGATATCGAAGGGTTTAGATGTCCTGCTATCCTCTTTGACCTCCAATTAAGAGATGTAGAAAGGATTAAGGAGGACATTAGCTAATACCGACCCTAAACTTTCTTGGTTCCAGATCCGTACCAAAGCATGATAATGGTAATTAGATCAAAGCATCTTTCTATTAGCGCCGCGGGCGAAAAATTCGAGATTTTTGGAAGGCTGATAATGCAGTTTGCTTTCCTTTTTAATATGTGCCGCAGGCGAAAATTTTTAAAACTTTGGAAGGCTCTAGCAAGAAATTTTTATTTTTTGAACACAACTCCTCCATTTATTTTAAAAATTTCCATCTTTAGGGGTGTATAATTTTGGCGTTTTGGCGCGCCAAAAACTGAAAATCACGCCAAACGCCAGCACGCCAAAATCGGCCAAAAATCACGCCAAAACGCCAAAACGTCACGCCAAAACGCCATGACGCACATCCCTGCTTAAGTGGCTTTCAACGCCAAATAATTCAATCAAGTAATATCTGATTAAAGATTGAGATATACATAGGTATTTTCCTAGGAGAGCGTATATTAGAATTTAGGTATAACCTACCTTTAGACTGCCTCTCTGACAATGCTTCCAAATTGCATAAAGAATTGGTGCATCTGTGCACAGTCCACAGAATTTATTCAAATTATCATGGTCTAATTGGCGAAGCTAAAAAATTCGTTATTTAGTTAACCTTTATTTCATACTTAATAACCGGGTACATCCCAAAACGGCGCGCGGCCATAACGGCGCAAAGCCATAACTTGGTGCAAAATGTCTGGCCCTTATCAATTTTAGTACCAATCTCCTTAGCTCGATGAGAGGAATCGTTTAAACTAAATTTGGTAAGATTAGGAAATCTTGAAGCAAGTTATGGCTTTGCGCCGTTATGACCGCGCGCCGTTTTGGGCGTGTCCCTTAATAACCAGCTCATGGATAAATAGCTGAATGGGTTTTATAGCTTTAAAATTTAGTTACGTCGGGGAAGCGTTGTTTGTAATTGGAGGCGCGTCCATTAACGCGCAGGAATGTCTGCGGCTTTAAAACTGTGCTAGGTTTATTTTTTTGGAGATTTACGTATCATTTGAAGTCTTTTTTAAAATTAGAATCCTTTTAGATGAGTATCTATATATTATTAATCCTTTTAGATCATCTAAAACTCATCCTTTTAGATGAGCGTCAATTCGGTCCCTTCCTTTTAAATGGGCGTCGCGCCTCTACTTTTAGAGGTCGTTCTTCCATTTTGGGTCACTTCGGGCCTTCGGTCTCGTCTCTCCCCCTCCCCATCGTTGGCTATGATTCGAAAAGCTTATCTGATGTCAACTAGGTTTACTCATTTTAATTGGAATTTTAAAATCAAAAGCTCTAAAATAAAAATCATTAATTACAATATTACCTTTCTAAGAAGTATAAAATCATCCGATAATATTCTAACTCTAACTTGATATTTAATAGCAAAAACAACTTCTCTATTATATAAAAAATGGACATAATTTTCTGTTTCCAATTTTTTATCATCCATACTTGTTAATTTTGTACTGCCAGATTGGCTACTTTGTAAACTTTTTAAACTTTTATTTGCTTCTAAACTTCTCATATCTTCATTACTTTTTAATTCTTTTATATTTTTTAATTCTCCAAAAGGTATTAAACATTCTCTAGTTAAACGTTCCTTTTCTTTTAATTTTTCTCTTTAAAAAATAATTTTTTTTTAAATTCCAAAAAAATATTTAACTACTAACCGAACAGCATAACCAATTCCACCTAAAGTAGCTACTAACAATAACAAAACCAAACCAACACCAATTAATATATATGTTGTTATATTTTGTGGACATTCTGTCCCAGTATATCCACATATTGGTTTATATAAAGGTCTTTTACCTCCTCTATTTGCCCACAATCCAGTCTCATTCGTATATCTTTTTATCAAAGTCTAAAAATTATTATTTTAGTTTGTTTTTATTTATTTTACTAACTGCAACTCCCCCTATAACTGTAATATTCATTACAACATTTGCTTGATCAGAGGCATCTAACATTGTTAAAAAGAAATTTGGTTGCCGATTCCCATTATCATCAAAAATAACTAGACCGGTTTCTCCTAATATAATTGTGTTAATTAATGTTGCATCACAATGTTGGCACTTAAATCTCAACTCGACAACCCCGAACCTATTAATTTCTATTATCTATATTTTTTAGATAAGCGCCATTAATTATCATTTTTGTTAGTTTAGATAGTTGAGGCAAAAGCTGTCAGACAGTCGTAGAACTCATGGCATTGATGATAAATGTGACTCAAACCTTTTCTTGTTTTATTTAGTTCTTGACATTTTTACGGTTTCAGAATGTTTGCCATAAGTGGGGTAATGTTTTGAAATTGCGGCGCTTAAACATAAGGGTTAAAAGCTGAAGTTTCAACACCAAAAGCTCTAAACTCGTTCTTTACCTTGAAATTCTCCTTTACTCATATTATTAATTAAAGTTCCATTTCTTGCCAAATCTTTCGTTAAATAACCAAACTTTTCTGTTGTTTTATTTAATGCCCTTAAATAAGCATATGTTGTATCGTGTAAACTTCGAGCATACGAAGACGGCTTAAATTATTTTTTTAATAAAAAAATATTTTAAAAAACAATTTGGTCATTAGGTCCACCCATACATTCATTTACGCAGTTGAAAGGAGGCTTTCCAAATTCAGAAACTACTTTAGCATTGAAAATATCAATTTGAGAGTTTGACTGATTTTCTAAGTCGACCTTTAAAATCAAATTATAATTAAATTATTTTAATTATTCTTTTTACAATAATTGTTCTTCTTGCTGCTTTCAAAGCATCTCCGCCACGTCCATCATCAACTCCGGTTGTTACTTTCCAAAAATCATCAAACTTTGATGTATTTGAGTTGGAGGTTACTTTTAATATTTAAAAATTGAACAGGCTTAGATTTTCTAAAGTAAGATACTTAAATGTACTTAAATGTTTGGCCTGAGCAGAAATAGGTCCTCTAACCTCTCAGGATGGATTAAAATAGATTTATTCTTTTACTCTCGAGATTATTTGTATAATATATACGCAAATACGATTTATGTATAATTAAAATATTAGTTTTTTGGATTTATGCCACTTAATTTACACTCACACCAAATTTTAACTAAAATAAATTGTTCACTTTGTTGTAACATTCCAAGACTTCTTAACTGTGCAAATATAAATACATATTCATTACTTTGAGATATTCCAGTATCAGTTATTGCTAACAAAAAATCTCTTCTTGTTGCAATATTATCTATATTGGCTATTACAACTTTAAAAAGATGAGAGAAAAATTATTTAAAATCTTAAAAACTTCTTGATCGGTTTTTTATTTGAGTAAGAGCATTGTGCATGCTTGCAGTTGTTGCAGCCATTTGTTGATTATATACAATGGTTAAATTTGGATTAGCATTAACAACATTTTGAAAATCTTGTGGGAAAAAATAACCAACTCTAAAAGAGTTAATTTTTATTTTCATTCATATTTTTATTTTATGTATATAATAATTTATGTTAATAATATGTTAATAATAATTTTATGTTAATAATAATTATTTTATGTTAATAATAATGTTAATTAATATAATTTTATGTTAATAATAATTATTATTAACTAATACTATTAATTATTAACTAATAATTAACTAATACCTTCAATTAACCAATATTATCATTTACTTACCTTCGAATATCATCTGGAATGTAGACTAGAGACACTTCATACCATTGAAATTGTAACAATACTGCCTCAATCGCCTGTGCCAGACTTAAAATAAAGAAAAATTAAATTAATAGGGGCTAAAATTTAATAATAATTAATTAATAAATAAATTATATTTTTTATTAAATTCAAATACAAAATTATATTAATTTTGCAATTACCATAAAGTATTTGAATTAAGATTTGTTACAGTTGGATATATATTATTATCGTTCAATATTGTTGCAATTGTTGCTCCCCAAAGGAAAATAGGCAAACTATAAAAGCCTGGAGGCAATGCCGCGTCGAGTGCCGCTTAATAATAAAAATGAATAAAAAATATTTTTCGTTATTTTTAATTAATAAGTGTTAAATAATTAATTAAATAATCATATAAAAATTTAAAACTCAGAGAGTCAAAGTAATATTAAATAGATTCTAGTGTGTGAAAAACAGAAATTAAATAGATTCTTAGAAGTTAATCCAAAAATTTCGGGAAAATTTAATTAATTTTAGGCCATTTTTGAAAGGATATTTACATGTAATACAAGGAGGCCCAATAATAACATCAACATCTTGGTCAAGAATTAATTTATTAGAATATCCAACAGCAAGTACTTGATCACAATCACAAATTAACCAAGTAAATCTACAAAAACATTAAAGATATACTTTAATAAAATTAAATATTCTTTACGTAAAATTAACAAAATCAATTAAATGTTCATTTCTAGCTCTTTGTATAGCAATAGAAATTGCTGGAACACTTTGTCCAAAACCATAAACAGGTCTATACTGACTGGCATTTGCTCCTAATAGTCCAATCTTTATTTGAAGTTGTGGCAAAGATGAAGAAGATATCTGTGAAGGTGGTTGTGTTGTTGTTGTTGTTAAAATGCTGTTAGTTGTTAGTGAGGAGTTATTTGAAATATTTTGACTTAAAACTCCATCCAAATTAAATTTTAAAAGAAGAAGGAGAAAAATAAGAAAAGTTATCATAAATTTGAAATTGTAACAATTTTTGTTAAAAAATTTCTAATGAATTTAAAAAATAAGGAAATGTTAGATTCACGCGGAAGACCTTTATAAATTCTTCAAAAGATTTTAATCCCAATCTTCTGTTCAAAAAATGACATTTAAAAATCGGATACTTATATTTTTAAATTTTTATAAATTTTAATTTTCTTTAAAGGTTTCTGATTAAAATTTAATCCAAAATATCAAAAAGCTAAACAAACACCTCTGTAAATTCAAAACTAGCTTTAACGGTAGAATCTTAATTTTATAATTTTGAGACATTTGAAAACAGATTAAATAAATATTTACTTTAAAACTTTTATAATAAATCTAATAAGATTGTGTAAGTATTCTTTTAAATTATTTGTTTAAAAATTTAAATATTTTTAATTAAAATATGGTATATAAATAATTGAAAAGATTTACAGAAAATATTCTCTTCCTGGCACTTCTGTTTCAATTCTTTCTGCGGTTTGCGGAAAATACACAGAATCCATTAAAAAATCCACCATGCTGTACGAAACTCCAAATATTTTTCGGACGAAACGAAAAATTTTTTTTAAAAAGATTATTAAAGTTTGAATCATTAAAGTTTGAATCATCTTTTGATATAAAATTTATAATTTTATCTTTCAAAATTAGTAGTGTAAATTTACTTTGAAAAAAGTACATCTTTTTCTAGCATCTTTTTCTAGCATTTTTCGTTATATACATTAATAAAAAAGAAAAACATGAGAGATTATAAAATTTAGAGCTATGATGTTATAATCATTATTAATTATGACATCATGTATGTATATAATCACCTCCAATATATTTATACCTCGAAATCAATGTATATATCCCATTAATCACACCATATCCCTCTTACTCCCTCAAATCTGTTGAATTTTTATGTTATTGTAAATTAGAGTAAAGCTTGTGCTGGGCCAGGATGGTATTGGGATGTTGGGCGGGTTGCGTGCGATGTTAAGGGTCCCGAGAGGCGATGCCGATGAGTATATTGCGGAGCGGAGGGTAGGCCTTTCTATGCGCTTGTATAATGCTGGTCGGTTACGAGACCGACTTGCCCGGGATAATATGCGCTGACTGATAAGCTCTTTGGCTTCTTCTGCAGGATTAATGAATAAGCTCTCAGCTTCTTCGGCCGGTTATTCACTTCTCTATTGATTACTTTCCAACTGACTGGTGAACAGTCGACTGAACCCTTTTTCACTATTTTCCACTTAGTTTTATCCTAAAGCCTTATTTGTCATCTCCTCCCCTTTTTCAATCCTTTCCCAGAGGAACTAAAGTTCCTTTTCTCCATCCTTGCCCATCCGGATCAAAGTACGCCTTACACCTCCAACCCCGGGGAAGACCGTCCCCTGGTCTTTTCCTAATTTCCCAAATTTCAATTTTATTTTTCATTTATTTTATTTTTAAACCCACCACAATTTACAGTTTTACCATGTGCCCCAAGTTTGTGCCTCCACTTCTATCTTCTTCTTCTCTCATCTTCTTCTACAGTCTCTTGCCAAGTGTCCGGGATTTCCGCATCTGTTGCAAATCATTTTTCCTCTTCCTGTTCTTAGTTCACCACCACGTATTAGCTTAACTTCTTCAACTTTAACTTCAATTGACCTTCCTTTTAAATCATTGAGTACTCCATTCGAGTCGCGTGTTGGTTCTTCATTTTCCATAACCTCCAAATAGCGTTCATCAACAAAGGGAGTGTGTTGTTTTGCCGCAGTGATGAATCTTCTCCACGTTTCGCCTTCTCTTATAGCTTCAAAATCGGCAATAATGATTAGTCCGCTTTGTGCCCTGGACAATGCAACTGTGGGACGTCTGCTGTCTTTCAAAAAGTCAGAGGCATCTGCGCGAGCTGCTGAGCCAGGCGTTTTAGTGCTCGTTGTTACAAGAATGATTAAACGGTGCTCGCGGCTTTGAAACGCATCTACAGAGTTCACAGATACTTGTAGATTTTCTTGTTGGAGCCTTTCTCTTATCTTTTCGCATTGGTACGTGTAGAGACAAATAATGGCAACACCTTGAGGATCTCGGTGTTCCAGTGCTTTCGCAATTATAATCGCTGCTTCTGTCTGTTCAGGTGAGGATAACGAGTAGGAGGAGCTGTCCTGCTCTATTGTTCCTCTTATATTAAGAAGTATGAGTGGAACGTCATTCACAGGAAGATTTATTCCAAGCTTTGTCAATCCTGTACGCTTTGATGCGGGAACAGCTGCGATTACTCTTTCGCCGTGTTTCTCATATGAAGAATAGTCGAAGCATTCAGTTATAATGGGATGCGAGCGGTAACATCGTTCCAAGATTGTGACTGATACTCTTTCGCAATTTTCCATTTGATCAGTTACACTTTCAAGACCGTAACCAGTTTGAATAACTTCTGGTAGTTCTTTTAAGTGGGTGCCCAATTGTCTTATATCCGGGAAAGTTCATGACTAGCGGTAATTTACAATGATTTTTGCCCCAATTTTTATTTTTGCACACTTTAAATCTCTCTGAATATCACCTCCAACCACCGAATCGTCCGTCCCTGGACGACTAAATAAAACCTTGAGTATTTCAATTCGTCGAGATCTTTCTTCTTCATTAGCTTCTTCCATGATCTTAGGAAGGCTTTTTCTTCCACACTTGTCTGTGTGGTTGATTTTGGTTTTTGTGAACCCGTGGGTTCCATGGTCAGAAGACCAGCAGTTTTATTTGTTTTTGAATCCGTGGATTCCATGGTCAAAAGACCAGCCGTTTTATTTAGAGTTTTTGAATCCGTGGATTCCATGGTCAAAAGACCAGCCGTTTTAGTAAAGCTTTTTGAATCCGTGGATTCCATGGTCAAAAGACCAGCTTTATTTGTTGTTGTTTCATTTTTCTCAGATTTGAAATAGAAATGACCGCGACCACGTTTTCGAACATTTTGATTGTTGTCCATTGATAACTGAAATTTAGTTTTTAATTTAAAAAAATTTTAAATTGGGAGAGAAAAAAGAAAAAATTAAATGTGAGTTAAACACGCAGTTATGTAAAAAAATTAAATGTGAGATAAAATACGCGAATATAGAAAATTGATTAATTGAAATAGTTTTAAATGATTTTGTTAGAGAATGTAAGTTAAAAGATTGATTAAGTGAAATTAGATGAATAGAATAAGAGTTTTGAATGTATGACCCCTATAAGTTTTATTTTTTCAAAAGGAAAACTTCTTCTTTTTTGGATTTTCTCGTAAATTATATTTCTTGTAAATGTTCTTTTCTACTATTTCAGTATTTGAGTTTTGATTTTCCTGTTTATCGGGAGTTTCGATTTCTTGGGAAATATTTTCATTTTCAATACCTTCGTTTTCTTCAGCTCTTGCCAGAGCTTTTTCTTCATCACTCGATAATTCAGGCACTGTACAAGCGGGTGTTAGTGCTTCAAAACACTTCTTTAGTTGATTTATATGCACTTTTCTGGGTGTACCCTGAGGTGAGTTACAACTTACTATTGTGACATGTACTCCTTCAATTTTTACTACTCTGAATACACCTTTCCAAGGCATATGAAATTTCTTAGAAGTTCCTATTTTCCCTGCATAGTTTCTGAGTAATACTCTATCTCCTACTGTGACTGTGGGATTTCTTACTAATTTGTCATATTGAGTCTTTGCTCTTAACTGTGCTTGCTTATTTGCTTCATCTGCAGCCTCCCAGGCGCATCTAAGTGAAGTGATTAGTCTTTGCTTAAATTCGGAAATGTCTGTAAACGCAACAGGACTGTACACTG